ATGAGTGGGAACTTGCACACGAGCAGCTACACGATAATGAGTGGGAAACTTGCTGCCTAGAAGCGCGGGGCAAATGGAGATGATTGATGATTTCACAAGGAAATTGGACAGGCACCTGAGGGAAACAAAGGGCTACGACAACAGAGTGGGAGACGGTACCTGATGAAATTGTTCTACAGACAGGTAGCCTGGATTGATTGAGCCAAATGGCTTCCTTCTAAGTGATAATGATTCTGATACCAATTAATCTGCATTATTTATACTGATTGATGGAGAAATATTGGTCAGACCACTAGGGTGAACTCACCCATTCTTCTTTAAAAGAATCTTTTACCTAAAAGAGCCTGGGATTCACATTTTGAAACTTGTGAAATTGTTGTCTCGGATTCTCCAGCATCTGCAGTTCCTTGTTGTCTCGGATTCTCCAGCATCTGCAGTTCCTTGTTGTCTCGGATTCTCCAGCATCTGCAGTTCCCCTATTTATTTCAAAACCCCCTTCCCCTCCCCCTTTTCTGATGAAGGGTCTAGGCCCGAAATGTCAGCCTCTCTGCTCCTATGATGCTGCTTGGCCTGCTGTGTTCATCCAGCCCTGCACCTTGTTGTCTCGGATTCTCCAGCATCTGCAGTTCCTACTATATCTGGGATTCACATTCGCTTGGGGCAGTCTGTTTCAAAGATGGAGCAGGCTTCATGAACCAAATGGCCTGCTCCTGCTGCTGAGACATCACTCCTGCAATATTGTTATACAACATCAATCTGTAAATGTTTAACTGACATGGTAGTTACTGGCCATCCCTAATTGCCCAGAGGGGAGTTAAGAATCACCCATATTGCTTTGGGTCTGGAGTCACGTGTGGGCCAATAGGTAAGGATGACGCGAGACCTTATTGAAATGTGGAAGATTCTTACCTTGTTTCCCTTTGTTGGAGAGTCTAGGACCCAGGGGGCATAATCTCAGAATAACGGGCTGCCCATTTAAGACAGAGATGAGGAGGAAATGTTTCTCTCAGAAGTTGGTAAACTGTGGAATTCTTTGCCACAGGGATTTGTTGAGGCGGGCTCACGATGTATATTCAAGATTGCAATAGCCAGGTTTTTAATCAGCAAGAGAATCAAGGGTTACAGGCAGGAAGGTGGAGGTGAGGATTATCAGATTAGCCGTGATCTCACTGAATGGCAGACAAGAATCAAGCTGGACAGCTTACTTTGAGATAGTAAGAACTGTCGATGCTGGAGTCAGAGATAACACAGTGTGGTGCTGGAGGAGCCAGCAGGCCAGGCAGCATCAGAGGAGCAGGAAAGCTGATGTTTCAGGTCAGGCCCGTTCTGAAGCTCCACACTATGAGCTACATGTTTGTTGTTTTATTTCACTTGCTACCCTCAGCAGGTTTTCATGAGCAGTTAGGCATCATCTCTGTATTGCTTTGTCAACTATCTACTTCCATGAGGATGTGACTGATTGAATGTTACAGATCCCAGGATTACATGCACTACTGAAAATAAAGGAGATCTCACTGCAGACGTTCTGAACATTGATCAACATTTATGACTACATGAAAAACGCAGCATGATTTCTGAATGGTTCAATGTTCGATTACATAAATCAAATCAGTGCTTAGTGTTTTTAACCAACTATTTAGTTCAATTGCAGGGTTATTGGTCACGGAATAGCTTGTCAGCTCATGCAGTGTATGCAAATTCACACAAGCATTGAACAGGGTGCTGGGCAAGTTCCCAGATATGGCAGACACTGTTGCATTAGAAGGTAGGTGTGATGTTGGATAATTTACCTCAAGATCACTCTAAGCTCATGGACTGACCAACAGTGAGTTCATTTTTATACATTTATTTTCCTCTCACTTTGTTCTTATTTATAAACTATAAGCTCATTAACATTTCTCAGTTCTGATGAAAGGTCTGAAAAGTTAGATGGCAGAGTTTTTTTGGTTGACCTTCACTTCCAATATCAGGAATCCAGAAGTAGTTCTGGCAGCATGTCATTCTCAATCTTCCCTGAAGGAGGGGAAATTAAGAAGTTGTCCCTGTGTGCCGTAACAAACAATAAATGGTGGTCAGACTAGGAAAGGGTGATCCTAATTAAAAGAACAGTAGTGAGGTCTGAGTCGCTTCACTCTCAACCCCATGGGTAGGTGGGGACTACTGAGTGAGACAAATTGCTATGACACCTCAAAATGGAGATGATTTCTGTAGCTTTGCAAAAAAAAAATAGAAATCCCACATGGCCATAGCTGTCAGGTCATGTT